AACTTTACCAAATTCATTGATTAGCTATAGTTTTCTTGTGGCATCTTTAGGATTCTCTATGTATAGTATCATGTCATCTGCAAACAGTGACAGTTTTACGTCTTCTTTTCCAATTGGTATTTCTTTTTTTTCTCTGATTGTCATGGCTAGTACTTCCAAAACTATGTTGCATAATAGTTGTGAGAGTGGACATCCTTGTCTTGTTCCTGATCTTAGAGTAAATGGTTTCACTTTTTCACCATTGAAAATGATGTTTGCTGTGGGTTTGTCATATATGGCCTTTAGTATGTTGAGGTAGTTTCCCTCTAAGCCTACTTTCTGGAGAGTTTTTATCATAAATGGGTGTTGAATTTTGTCAAAGGTTTTTCTGCATCTTTTCAGATGATCATATGGTTTTTATTCTTCAATTTGTTAATATGGTGTATCACATTGATTGATTTGTGTATATTGAAGAATCCTTGCATCCCTGGGATAAATCCCTCTTGATCATGGTGTATGATCCTTTTAATGTGTTGTTGGATTCTGTGTGCTAGTGTTTTGTTGAGGATTTTTGCATCTATATTCATCAGTGATATTGGCCTGTAATTTTTTTTTTTGTAGTATCTTTATCTGGTTTTGGTATCACGGTGATGGTGGCCTCACAGAATGAGTTTGGGAGTGTTCTTCCTCTGCAATTTTATTAGTAGCTCTTCTCTAAATGTTTGATAGAATTCACCTGTGAAGCCATCTGGTCCTGGGCTTTTGTTTGTTGGAAGATTTTGTATCACAGTTTCAATTTCATTACTTGTGATTGGTCTGTTCATATTTTCTGTTTCTTCCTGGTTCGGTCTTGAAAGGTTATACCTTTCTAAGAATTTGTCCATTTCTTCCAGGTTGTCCATTTTATTGGCATACAGTTGCTTGTAGTAGTCTGTTACGATGCTTTTATTTCTGCAGTGTCTGTTGTAACTTCTCCTTTTTCGTTTCTAATTTTATTAATTTGAGTCCTCTCCCTCTTTTTCTTGATGAGTCTGGCTAATGGTTTATCAATTTTGTTTACCTTCTCAAAGAACCAGCTTTTAGTTTTATTGATCTTTGCTGTTGTTTTCTTTGTTTCTATTTCATTTATTTCTGCTCTGATCTTTATGATTTCTTTCCTTCTACTAACTTTGGGTTTTGTTTGTTCTTCTTTCTCCGGTTCCTTTAGGTGTAAGGTTAGATTGTTTATTTGAGATTTTTCTTGTTTCTTGAGATAGGCTTGTGTAGCTATTAACTTCCCTCTTAGAACTGCTTTTGCTGCATCCCATAGGTTTTGGATCGTTGTGTTTTCATTGTCTTGTGTTTCCAGGTGTTTTTTTTTTTTGCGGCACATGGGCCTCTCACTGCCATGGCCTCTCCCACTGCGGAGCACAGGCTCCGGATGCGCAGGCCCAGCGGCCATGGCCCATGGGACCAGCTGCTCCACGGCATGTGGGATCTTCCCAGACTGGGGCACGAACCCGCATCCCCTGCACCAGCAGGCGGACTCTCAACCACCGTGCCACCAGGGAAGCCCTCCAGGTATTTTTTGATTCTTTGATTTCTTCAATGATCTCTTGGTTATTTAGTCATGTACTGTTTAGCCTCCATGTATTTGTTTTTTTTACGTTTTTTCCCTGTAATTCATTTCTAATCTCATAGCGTTGTGGTCAGAAATGATGCTTGTAAATGTAATTTCAATTTCTTACATTTCCAAGACTTGATTTGTGACCCAAGATGTGATCTATCCTGGAGAATGTTCTGTGCGCACTTGAGAAGAAAGTGTAATGTGCTGTTTTTGGATGGAATATCCTATAAATGTCAATTAAATCTATCTGGTGTACTGTGTCATTTCAAGTTTCTGTTTCCTTATTTATTTTCGTTTTGGATGATCTGTCCATTGGTGTAAGTGAGGTGTTAAATTCCCCTACTATTATTGTGCTACTGTCGATTTCCTCTTTTATAGCTGTTAGCAGTTGCCTTATGTATGAGATGCTCCTATGTTGGGTGCATATATATTTGTAATTATTATGTCTTCTTCTTGGATTGATCCCTTGATCATTATGTAGTGTCCTTCCTTGTCTCTTGTAACGTTCTTTATTTTAAAGTCTATTTTATCTGATATGAGTAGTGCTACTCCAGCTTTCTTTTGATTTCCGTTTGCATGGAATATCTTTTTCCATCCCCTCACTTTCAGTCTGTATGTGTCCCTAGATCTGAAGTGGGTCTCTTGTAGACAGCGTATAGATGGGTCTTGTTTTGTATCCATTCAGCAAGCCTCTGTCTTTTTGTTGGAGCATTTAATCCTTTCACATTTAACGTAATTATTGATATGTATGTTCCTATTACCATTTTCTTAATTGTTTTGGGCTTGTTTTGTAGGTCCTTTTCTTCTCTTGTGTTTCCCGCTTAGAGAAGTTCCTTTAGCATTTGTTGTAGAGCTGGTTTGGTGGTGCTGAATTCTCTTAGCTTTTGCTTGTCTGTAAAGCTTTTGATTTCTCCATGGAATCTGAATGAGATCCTTGCTGGTAGAGTAATCTTGGTTGTAGATTCTTCCCTTTCATTAACGTATACCATGCCACTCCCTTCTGGCTTGTAGAGTTTCTGCTGAGAAATCAGCTGTTAACCTTATGGGAGTTCCCTTGTATGTTATTTGTCATTTTTCCCTTGCTGCTTTCAGTAATTTTTCTTTGTCTTTAATTTTTGCCAGTGTGATTACTATATGTCTCAGTGTGTTTCTCCTTGGGGTTATCCTGTATGGGACTCTCTGCGCTTCCTGAACTTGGGTGGCCATTTCCTTTCCCATGTTAGGGAAGTTTTCGACTATAATCTCTATAAATATTTTTTCTGGTCCTTTCTCTCTCTTTTCTCCTTCTGGGACCCTTATAATGTGAATATTGTTGTGTTTAATGTTGTCCCAGAGGTCTCTTAAGCTGTTTTCATTTCTTTTCATTCTTTTTTCTTTTTTCTGTTCCACAACAGTGAATTCTCCCATTCTGTCTTCCAAGTCACTTATCTGTTCTTCTGCCTCAGTTATTCTATTGATTCCTTCTAGTGTAGTTTTCATTTTAGTTATTGTATTGTTCATCTCTGTTTGTTCTTTAATTCTTCTAGGTCTTTGTTAAACATTTCTTGCATCTTCTCGATCTTTGCCTCCATCCTTTTTCCAAGGTCCTGGATCATCTTCACTGTCATTATTCTGAATTCTTTTTCTGGAAGGTTGCCTATCTCCATTTCATTTAGTTGTTTTTCTTGGGCTTTATCTTGTTCCTTCATCTGGTACATAGCCCTCTGCCTTTTCATCTTGTCTGTCTTACTGTGAATGTGGTTTTTGTTCCACAGGCTGCAGGATTGTAGTTCTTGCTTCTGCTGTCTGCCCTCTGATGGCTGAGGCTATCTAAGATGGTTGATGGGAGGAACTGGTGGTGGGTAGAGCTGACTGTTATTCTGGTGGGCAGAGCTCAGTAAAACTTTAATCCACTTTTCTGCTGATGGGTGGGCCTGGGTTCCCTCCCTGTTGGTTGTTTGGCCTAAGGCGACCCAACACTGGAGCCTACCTGGGCTCTTTTGTGGTGCTAATGGCAGACTCTGGGAGGGCTCATGCCAAGGAGTACTTCCAAAAACTTCTGCTGCCAGTGTCCTTGCCCCATGGTGAGCCACAGCCACCCCCACCTCTGCAGGAGACCCTCCAACACTAGCAGGTAGGTCTGGTTCAGTCTCCCCAGGGTCACTGCTCCTTCCCCTGGGTCCTGATGCACACACTACTTTGTGTGTGCCCTCCAAAAGTGGAGTCTCTGTTTCCCCCAGTCCTGTCGAAGTCCTGCAGTCAAATCCCACTAGACTTCAAAGTCTGATTCTCTAAGAATTCCTCCTCCCATTGCCGGACCACGAGGTTGGGAAGCCTGACATGAGGCTCCGAACCTTCACTCCAGTGGGTGGACTTCTGTGGTATAAGTATTCTCCAGTCTGTGAGTCACCCACCCACCAGTTATGGGATTTGATTTTACTGTGATTACACCCCTCCTACCGTCTCACTGTGGCTTCTCCTTTGTCTTTGGATATGGGGTATCTTTTTTGGTTTGTTCCAGTGTCTTCTTGTTTATGATTGTCCAGTAGCTAGTTGTGATTCTGGTGTTCTTGCAAGAGGGAGTCCATTTCTTCATTCAACAATAAGTGCTTAGTATGTGCTAGAAAGTATTCTGAGGCTGGGGAAACAGCAATATACAAAATGCATAAGTCCTTGCCTTGGTGGTACTTACATTGTAGAATCCAGGGTGTTACTTTTAGTGTTATAATGTATGCCTACTTTATACCTACTTGTAAATCAAAAGATGCTTTATGATTTCAGTGGTGAATCATTCTCTAAAGTGATCAGTCACATTCTTACATATGTGACCTACGAGTTTAGATGACTGCTCAAGGGTTTGTCTTCTTGGGCACTATAGCTGTATTCAGCCCTTGGCAGAGGTGGATACTGTGCTTGGTTTCCTAGTCTGCAGCTAATGAGTAACACAAATTAGTTGGAAATGATTCAAATGAAGCTAACAATATAATTTGAAATTTGGGGGATGTTTTTGAAGGTGGGGAGAATAGTGAGAAGTTAAAGGAAGGATTCATCTCAGGAATACTTAAAGAAGTAATATTCCTTTAGCATAAGAAATTTGCTACAAGATACTAATTTCTACTAATACCTTTAAAAGTTGTCCAGCCTTTAGCCATCTTTGGTTCTGGAGATTTAAAAGTAGGATTTAAATTTTAAAATATTATTGTGGGATGATTTTAAGTATAGTTTCATCAGAATGAATGTGAGCTGAAGGGAAATAAAATATGCTCTGAAGGCCACTCCCTAGCCTGTGCATACAGGATCAAACAATTTAATAGACTTCATCATGAACTAATAGTCTTTATGAAGAGACACTGCTTTACCAATTGTATGACATATCCATTTCCCAGTTCCTTAATGTAAAATTCTGGAAACGAATGAGTTTTTTATCAACATCCAGGCAAACTCTTCCACATAGACTTTGGATATATTTTGGGTCGGGATCCAAAGCCTCTTCCTCCTCCTATGAAGCTGAATAAAGAAATGGTGGAAGGAATGGGGGGCACACAGAGCGAACAGTACCAAGAGTTCCGAAAACAGTGTTACACAGCTTTTCTCCACCTTCGAAGGTAAGTTGATTTGCTTGACGTAGAGAATTTTGGTAAATTCATTTCACAGAGCAAGAAAAATATTCGTTCAAATGTGTACATTCTTTAGCATCACTCTTTTTAGAATGATACAGGCAGCAGTATTTTTTAATGTACATTTGATATCTATTTTGATAAACAGTCTGATATCAAAGGAAAAAGACAGTTTCTTACTTTCTCACTAATTATTTGACTGCTAAATCCCACCAAGTGGGAAGCTAGCATTACACAAGAATGAAGCATTTAGCTCACTTGGAGTGATTAGTCAAATAATTTTTATTTTTTAGCACCTTTATCAACCTTAGTTTGGAGCATTCTGAAACAGTTGAAGAATAAACGTTACATATGATTTTGTCTCTCTTCAGCACCTCATCAGTCATTCTGCTTAAAAAAAAATGTTGATTTTTTTCTCTATCCCTTTTTCTCTAAGGCCACTATATCTCTGCTTCCTTCATCCAAATTTAGTTAGGACTGGGCATGATGTATCATCAGGAAAAAGATAAATTAAAAGTCATGTTTGTTAAATTCAGGACATGGCTCTGATGGTTAGTCAAAAATGATGGATCATTTTATTCTAACTCCATTTTCAACTTAACTATGCAAAATGAATATTCTTAGTCCACCAGAAAAATCCCAGCTCAGGAGACACCTGTATGCTCTTCCAGGTGAATATGTAACCAGTAGAAGTGAGTTGCCTATGCATGTGGGCCCTGTCTTTTCTGTCTTTGTAACCTCAGTTTATAGACAGTATATGTATGTTGAATAAGAACCTTCAGTATTTGTACGAACAGTTCTGCATCACATCTGGAGTGAAGTCATGTTCCCTGGTGATACTGATACTGCTGGTCCCAGGTGAATGGCTGTCTTATATTAATAAGGTTTCATCTTTGCAGTGGCTCAATAGGCCTTCACTGTTAACTCAGTCTCGACCGCAGGTCACAAACTTTAACGTACATTTTACAAACAGCTGCATTATTATCCTGAGTGGTAGAGTGGCTCAGTTTTACTCTCCAGAAATGCTAAAGGAATAATGAGAAGATGGGTGCCTGGTGATGCAGAAGCACTTTCAGAGATGAAAGTTCCACTTTACTACCTAGGATTTTTAATTTAAAACAGTCGGAGCCTACAGAAAGCTAGATGAAACTATGGTGATCTCAGTGAGGAGGCAGGCAAGATGATATGCAATGATAACTAGAGAAATGTCAAAGGTGCCCTATCTAATATATTGAAAGCAGAAAGAAAACAATGTGTCTTATAAACTGTCATTGATAATGGATTAGTAGCAATTCAGCAAAATGAGAAAATAGGCAGATTATTAGTACAGAGCCAAAAGTTAACTTTCCTCACTACTAAGAAAAATCATAAAGAGATTAATCTACCTCACTTTATGTTAAGTCTTCATGAAAATTGTTTTACTTTTTTATTTTCAAAAATTTCACTGTTAAGATTAGCTAGACCCTAATATTTTGATAAACATTTATTTTCTAATGTTGTATTTTAGAATATGGTTCAGTTAGTAAAAATTTCTCTTAGGACATAAGAATTAACGAGATAGCCAAAACTTTTTTGGAGGTAAGGATATTTGACACGCTTATTATTAGAGTTTTTAGGTGTGACCAACTGTGTTCTTTTCATGGTTTTTGTTGATTGCTGATCAACAAGAAATCATTGAATAAACTGTGGACCACAAAGAGAGCAGTCCCTTTTGAATTAAGTTATGAATGTTACTTGTACAGATGCCGGAACACACTTTATGGTGTGATTTTCATATAACAAAATACATTGTTATACCAATAATAAATTAGAAAATTTATTTTTTGAATACTCTTATGGCAACTCTTTAGTAATGCTAAAACATTTTAAATATTAAGTGTTCAAGGAAAACATAACTTCTCTTAATCCATGTTTATGCCAAACACCATGCTAGACACTGATGATACAAAGAGGGCCTAAACTTTTCAGTAAAAATATTGAAATTTGGAATGCATTTTGCTGTATCAAGCAAAGTTCTTACATTGTCTTAGAGGGTGTTTGCCTAGTCACCAAACAGCAGTGAATCTATTGATCACACTACTTTTCATCATTAATCTCATTGTTTTCCCTTCTAGAAGTAGTACACTTGTTAAATAAATATTTTTATAGGATTCTACTCTGATATTTGTTGCATGCAAAATAGATAGATTGTAGGGGAAACAAGACGTCTGAAATGCTGTTAAGAACCTTACTTGTTGTAGTTATGCTTTTTATTCTTAGTATTGAAGGTTTTTACTGAAAAATTTAGACCATCTTTGTATACCCAGTGAGTAGCATGGTGGTTGGCATAAACATGGGTATGAGAAAGAGTACATTTACCTTGAACTCTGTACTTAACCTACTCCTTTTTAAAAATCTAATTTATATCACATCCATCCTTACATCTTTGTCTAGACTTGGTTTTGCCCACTTTGCCCACTCTGTCATTTTTTAAACTTAACCTTATATTTTTTTTTGATAATGACTTTAAAGATTTCTGGTAACCTTTCTGTTTTTCTGGATAGCATTTGAATGACTAATATATAATTTCTGTGTTGTGTAACTGGTTCAGTCTTAAGTGGAAAATGCAGGTTAATGGCAACAGATGTAAAAGATTAATACAGTTAAGGTAGTGACAGATTATCCACAAAGTAATTGGATGTTTAAGCTTCTTATAGAATATTCCATTTTATATTTATTTACATTGTTTCCCTTTGCCATAATAATAGAAGCATGGGTGGTTATATGTATACCAGCAGATAATGGAGAAAACATTAATATTTTCCTTTTACGAAAGGAATACACATGCTTCCATAAAGGCAGACATTTTTTTTGTTTTGTTTTGTTTTTTTCCCCAGTACTCAGGCCTCTCACTGTTGTGGCCTCTCCCGTTGCGGAGCACAGGCTCCAGACGCGCAGGCTCAGCGGCCATGGCTCACGGGCCCAGCCGCTCTGCGGCATGTGGGATCTTCCCGGACTGGGGGATGAACCCGCGTCCCCTGCATTGGCAGGCGGGCTCTCAACCACTGCGCCACCAGGGAAGCCCAAGGCAGACATTTTAACATAGATCCTGGCTGACCGTTAGAATCACCTGGGGTTCTTTGTGGGCTAGGGGGGGACCAAAACAGTTCTGAGCCCCATCAGATTTAATTGGTCTGGGATTTGGCCCAGGCATTGGTATTTTCAAAGAAGCTTCCCAAGTGAATTTAATGGGCAGCCAGGTATGGGATATACTTTGAAATATCCCTTTCAAAACTGAACCTTGTATTCCTCTCCCTGTGTTACCTTGTGGTAGATTCCTGAGATTCCCCTATGGCAAGGTTGGGACAAACCCTATATAGTCAACAAAGCAGAGTATGAATAATTAAGGGTTCATTGAAAGAATATTATTTTTTCGTAAGATAATATGTAGCAGTTGGTTGTATCCTACTGACACCAGTCCTTACAAGCCTTCTCAGTGGATCCTTTTCTCTATTTCCATTTCCTACATACCACAGAGCTTAGAGAATGGCCTGGTGCCCTTTTTGCTCCCTAATGCCACTTCCGAACCATTTCTTCCCTTGCCTTCTTAAAGAAGGAAAGCATAGACACACACTGTGAAATCAGATGAATTACCTACTGCTGACCATCAACTGCCTATTTCCCTGTCATTTTCATTCATTGAAAATTTTGTCTTCTTCTTCAGGCCTGCTGCTGTGACTTCAACATCTGCATAAATGGTCCAGCCATGACCGGACCCCTCTCAGGGCTGTGTCCTCCTCATGTAAAGCCAACCTTGGCCACTCCCTCTCATCAGTAGTAAATTTACCGCTCCAAAATCTTGATCCCCCACTTTTCACTTACTAGCCTCCTTTCTTCCTTCAGGCTTCTCCAATAAGTCTTCCAGTCCTACTCTGTTATTGAAACTAATTTTATCAAAATAAACAATTACCTATACCAAATCCAGTGGCCACTTTTGGCTTCCTAGAAGCTTTGACACAGTTGACCACGTCTTTGTTCCTAAAAACATTTCTTTTATTTGGTGTAACCTACTCCTCTATTTTCTTTTTGCCTTACTGGTCACTCCTGCTTCTTTGCTGATACCTTCCCTCTTCTTCCTGACCTCTATATATTAAACTATCTACAAGTTCCATATCAGTATAAAGAGTTCTGGATCTTTTTCCCCTAAACTCTCTCCTTAAGCATTTACATCTAGACTTGTGACTTTAAATAGGATCCAAATGCTGATGATTCCAAACTATTACCACCAGCCCTATTATCTCCTCTGAAATATGTCTAACTGCCTATTTGACATCTCTACTAAGAATGTAGTAGGGATCTCGAACTCAATATGTGTCTAAAATGGAACTCTTGATTCCCTGCCCCAAATCCTGTTCTTCTTTCATTCTTTTTTTTTTTTTTTAATTTTGATAAATAACCATAGTTCCCCATGTAGGCTAAATCCTTGGTGACATTCAGGTCCTCTGTACTCCACTTCATTGAAGCCATCTTGAAGCAAGTGATATCCAGTCCATCTCCAAAATATAGCCTGATAATGTCCATATTATTTATTTTCCACCTGGACATCTGTAAAATAGTTTCCCTTCCTCCATTCTTATTCCCCACAAGATAGCCAGTGTGGGCTTTTACAAAATGCATATCTGAGTATGTCACTCTACTCTTTAAACTCACTTATTTCAGTACAGTTAGAATAACATCATACCTCCCTAAGATGACTTTTCTCCCCACCCCATCAGTCTTTGACCCATTTTGCTGTTTTTTCTTTATTTTTAAAAATCTTTTGTCAGTCAAGCACTCATGAAATTATCTTCTTTGTCAGTTTATTGTGTGAGTCCCCACCCTCCTCCAGAATGTAAGCTTCATGAGTATGTAGAGACCTTGTTTGTTCAGTTCACCACTATACCCATAGTGCCTAGAACAGTGTTTAGGGTGAGTACTCAATAAATATGTGTTGGTTGAATGAATTAAGTTATTATGTGGGTAGAAATGGAATAAGCTGTGACATGCTTTTTATCAATTCCCACAAGGAAATCAGTAACTTTTAAAACTATAAGTTCAAGCTGTTTAGCTATTATCATACTTTTTTTAAAAGAGTATAATTGAGTTAGGGCCTAATTTGATTAGAAGATTATATCAAGGTAGAATTTTTTTCATTATAGTGCCTGATTTTCATGGGTAATATAAAATTCAAAAATGATGAAATAGGTAATTTGAGGTTCATATGGATAGTCATTTTTGTCTACAAGTTCTATTATCATTACAGTTCAAGTATTAGTTTTTATGTACTTTTTTATATTATGGATAAGTAGATGGCTGGAATAAAGGTTCTGCATAACCTAAAGTCCTGACTTCCATCCGCTAGAGAAGACAATGCAAGGCACTTGTGTTGACACTTCTACCAAGACCAGCTAGAAACCTTCATTGCCTAAAACCAAAGCTTTCTACACTTACATCCATCCCCAAAGTCAAACCTGGACCTCCTTTTATCACTACAGTGCTGCAGGGCCGTTCAGGGCATAACTGTCCAAGGGGAGAGTGTTCTGGAGCAGGAGGTGGGTTGCACCCAGTGTACACTTAATGATACCTTTCCCCACATGGCTGCACTCCTGGAAATGAGATTTGGAATAGTAACATTCTTTCTTCTTGTTTGGATGAGGATGAAAAGTTTGATGATTGATGAGGATAAACCTTTAGTTCCTACAGGGGCCAGCATACTCCAAAGGTGAAGTTATTTAGATATCTTGCACATTTTTAGTGTAGAAGAGTACAAGCTATTTTCTCCTCCGTTTAGGGTTGCTTATATCCAGGCCAGTCATTATATTTTCGAAGATGGTGGGATACTAATCCTATATATACTATCCTTAGAGGATATTTATGAATGATTACTGAACTCACACTATTTCCCTTTGACTCATTTACCCATGACATACTGAGGTAGTCTTAAGGTAGCAGATTCTTGTCAGCATTGAGCAAAAACAGATCTTCATTGCTTAGTAATGCTAATTAATGGTATAAAGCAGATTCCCCTTAGATCTCCTCTAAAAAGAATATACTTACTAAAGAGTGAAAAACTGTCATTATTAAATGGTTACTCCAAAAGTGTGTTCCCTAGTGGGGGACCTAGAAATGGCATTATATCAAGACCTTAGAATAAGTTATGTTTTCAAGGCTTGCTTTTCATTGAGACAGCTGGTGAATAAGCTCACATTCTATTTTCCATAGGAGTAATAGTAATCATTATAAAGCACTACTTCTAGGAATGCTCTTAATATGAGAAACAATGGCAAAATTCTAATGCATTGCTATTTGTTTTTCTTTCCCACTCTCCTTTAGGTATTCTAATCTTATTTTGAATTTGTTTTCCTTGATGGTGGATGCAAACATTCCAGATATTGCTCTTGAACCAGATAAGACTGTGAAAAAGGTAATTTTTATAAATCCTCAGATACCATAGTCTACTTTTCATATGTAAAATATATCAGGGTTTTAACAACCCATTTCCCCTTGTCCCGACCCCTAGACTCTTAAGTAACATGAATTAAGAAAGAGACCTTGTGTATATTTTTATTTCACATTCCAGAATATGACAGCCTCTCAAGTCCTCTGCAACAAGTTTTATCCCCTTGCCTGTTTGTACCCACAGTCACATGAATAGGTCACTACACCAAGAGAGGAAGCTTACTATCACAGCCCTTGCTCTTTGTCCTGAAAGTTTAGCTTCTCTTTAATATTCCTACTGGGATACCTGATTCCTGGTACTCCCAGACTAGGCCTGCTAAGGATCAGAAACAAAATATTGTAATAGTATGTAGAAGCAGAAGCAAACAGCCATTCTCTATCCTTCCCATTCATACCCTTGCTTACAGGGGTTTCTTACTGTGTCAGGAGAATAGAGACCTGCCTTAACTTAACCTGCAAAGAGAAGAATGAAGGAAAGCCATCACGTAGATGAGCAGTTATTCAGAACTATCTTACCCTGAGTTGCAGCAGGAGATGGGAGGAAGGGTAACAGATTTGAAGATTTTTATTCAAATTAATTTCTGACTCTCTGATTCATTGAGAGGGTTGTATGTAGTATACTTTATTTATCCAAAGGTAACATAAAATGATCTTAAATATCAGTGTGGTTATTAATACTGAACTTCAAAGTTAGTGTAGTTTTTTAACTTACAGAAGTATAAAATTACTAAAATTATAACAGTCTCATAGATGGAATTGCCCTGGTGGTTGAAATTAATAATTGGCACCAGAATCCCTAAGTTTTGATGTAATTGACTCTGAGCATTATTAGAAAGGTACCTCTGTGGTTTAAACATCGTCTTGGTCCATTTGGGCTGCTATATATAACAAAATACAAGAGACTACGTGGCTTGTAAACAACAGAAATTTATTTCTCATGCTTCTGGAGGCTAGAAGTTCTAGATCAGGGTGCCAGAATGGTCAAGTTAAGGCCCTTTTTGGGTCGAAAACTTGTTGTATCTTCATAGGGTGGAAGGCACTAGGAAGCTCTGTGGGATCTCTTTTATAAGAGCACTAATCCCGTTCATGAGGGTTCCACCCTCATGACCTAAACACCTCCCAAAGGGTCCACCTCCTAATACTATCACATTGGGCGTTAGTGTTTCAACATGGATTTGAGGGATACAAAAATATTTACATCATTGCAAACATGAATGAAGCTAATCTCTTTTACCTAATTTTATGAGTCATTGGCAAGCAATGAGAGGGATTTTAATGTAAATATTTTATTGCTTAACCGTTTAAGGAAATTATGTTCTTATTAAGATTTCATTTATTATTATCCAGGAAGCACTGTTTCAGCACCCCCCACCCCCAAACTAGGCAATGGACTACTTATCACACTAGGTTTTGGCCTGGGTTATTTTTTGTCAATTTAAGCTCATCCATCAAGAAACATGGTTGATGAACGTTTTCTTAGCTAAAGTTGATGACTGCACCAGATTTCAAATGTTGTTGCCTTTTTTTTTTTTTTTTTTTTTTTTTTTTTTGCTTTGCTGCTTTCAGGATCTGTTTTTGCTGTTTATTTTAAACCCATCTATCTCTGTCATATGTTCACTCTTGCCTGACTTCACTTGTGTTCAGAAGTCATTTATGAAAGTTCTAGCAGTATTTGTCAAACGGAGTCTTCCAGTTTCTTCTGCCAGTTGTTATATAGTTATTGTTCTTATTAGATCTTTTGTTTCAACTTTTGCTTCTCTTTTAGAGAATCATGATTTTATTGTTTAATTTGTTACCAGCTCTCTTTATGGCATCATCCTTTAACACATGAAGCAATTAATTTATGGGGAAAAGCATGTACCTTAGTCATTTTTCTTTACACTGTTTACTCCCTAGCTGTTTATTCTAGTTTCAATTAAGTGAACCTTGAACAAAAAGTATTTTACCTTATTTTTACCCCAAAGGGTATTCCATAAAGATTTATTTGCTTGCTACTGTTTTATCAAGAATGTTAAGTAACCAATTGCAACATAAACTTGACTTTAAAGTCATAATAATATTGGAAAGTGATGCTGCAATAGACTAAAATTTATGTTTCATATTGGTTGGCTTTTTTAAGAAGTAGAAATAGGTTTTAATACTTTGTGAAATAACACTTGCTGGCATTACTTTGAAGTCTTACTACCTAGAAAATTTTTGCATTGATCTCATGAGTGAAAGCCAGCTAAAGAAACAGAGTAGCACATTTGAGGCTGAAGTCTTCAGAGAAGTACAGATTATTCAAATTATTTAATCATAACAAAGTTCAACAATATTTTCCTTTTTTCTTAACATATTTTAGTACATATATATCAATTTCTTTTTACTTCTTTTTAAACTGTCTACTCATTTTATGGTGCTTCACAGATAATTTTGTTTCTTACAGATTTTGAAGGTTGTAGCAACTCTGTGTTGAGCAAGTCTGTTGGTGCCATTTTTCCAACAACATTTGCTCACTTTGTGTCTCTGCATCACGTTTTGGAAATTCTCACGATATTTTAAACAAAGGGTATCTTATCTACCTTTGAAAGACAGTGCAGAGGCTGAGATTTACAAGTTTGTATCCTTTTGCTTAAAGGCACTCTCCAGATTGTTTTGAGTGCAGCCTTACTAATGAGGTGTGAAAGGAGAGGGTTTGGAGCTGGTAGGGATAGCCAGGAAGTCAGGGGAGAAATTCTGGAAAGGTGAAAGTCACAGAGGTGACTTAGGGGACAATAACAAGTAGCCTAACATAAGTCAGTATATATGAAAACAGATCAACCATTTATATGTTGTTAACCTTCTTTGTTATAAAAGAGAATGTCTTCATATTTGGCAAATAACATTTTCTTTATATGCTAAACACATATCTTCTGTTTGTAATTTAAGTACTTATGTAAGTATGCAAGTTTTGATAAATTGGGTTAAAGTTTTATTTTGATTCTCCTGCCCTACAGTTTTTTGACGTTCTTAAAAAATAGTTCCAAAATTGTCAGATATGACCTCTCTAAGTAGAAATCAAGGAATATAATGGATTAATAAACTCTTTAACTGGGACCCACAAATGGGAGAGAGAGTTGATTGAAGGTATACTTTTAGGTCTCCCTCCACCAAATTGTCCTTCACTTATTATATTAACCTCTCTTTTACCTCCTCTATCCTGAGGCTGAGGGCTGTCGGATCAGCTGGTATACTTCCAGTGCAGTGAAGAGAAAAGAGCACTGAGCAGGGCCATGGGTTGTCATACTGTCTGCCCTTTCTTCTTCCTGGTTTTATAGTAGTTAAACTCTATACTTAAAAGGAAATACTAAATGTGGACCACTTTTTATCCACTTGGAAATCCCATTTTCTCCTAGCCTGCCTTTTCAGAAATATATCTGGGTTATTTATAAGAGGAGAAAGGAGTTAGTACAATGGTTAGTGCAGTAGCATGCAATTGTCTGGAAGTGCAAGCCACTTATCATCAGTTAAAGGTCCCTGGATTGGCTTCATAAATTCTGTGTCTCAGTTTCTGCATCTTATAGATGGAGATATCTACCTCAGAGCCATCTGAGAGTTGAGTGAAATACTGCATATAAAGTACTTTGCACAGTGTTTAGCACAAAGTAGTTATTCAGTAACATTGGCTTTTGTGTTTTAGGGAACTATTCTGATATATATCTCTACTAAGTTTTCTAGTACTTATTGCTATTGAGAATCAACTATATGTTTTAATATGAAATAATGAAAAAGTCCTCTGTCTTTGGAAATTATAGGCCAGTTGAAGTTGTTCTTTGCAGAAGTACAGGGAACTCCTATAGGAAAGGGGACATTTTAGAAGATCTAGTTTAGTTTATTTTGCCAGCAATTGACATAGTTCCTGTTCTTGTGTAGGCAGAGAATGTGAGGGAGAATAGTAATATAAGCTTACCTTGCTATATCCATTTCATAAAGTGAAGGAGATTGTTAATAATTATTATGTCACAATTTAAATCTTATAATTCTAGCTTTGAAATGCAAATACTAAAGCACACCTTTGAGTTAAAAGAACAATTTTTGTCTGTTTTTAAATTTGCAGGGTCTAACAGAATTATATTTTCTATTCACTTTGTTAATTTTTTTCTGCAGAAATATTTACAACCAACAAAGATAGGGTGATATAAAGAGCATATAGCAAAAAGTAAAGTTCCACATTCAAGAGAATAGTATTCAGAACTCCTTACAGGTTATGAATCATTTCTTTGGCATAGAATAGTTCATTGTAATAATATCTATAACTGTTTGTTCTTGTCTTTTCGAAATGTGTGTTTTTCTTTATTCAAAAGCTAATAGACTGTGACCTTGTAGGTTCAGGATAAATTTCGTCTAGACCTGTCTGATGAAGAGGCAGTGCACTACATGCAGAGTCTGATTGATGAAAGTGTCCATGCTCTGTTTGCCGCGGTGGTAGAGCAGATTCACAAGTTCGCCCAGGTAAGTTCTCTGAGGGCAGTGTGTTCATCTCAGCTTCTCCGTGTACTACCCTGGAATCCTCACAGAACCATACCTTTCCCTGCCAATGACATCTTTTCTGTTTTTTTTGTCAAGCCTTCTTGACATCTCACCAACCTTCCAGTGTGAAAGTGTTCAATGCACTAGTAACATGCACTAAAACATCCCACTGAAATGTTCTTAGTAACTAAATTGTGGAGTATCAGCATAGGTGTATCTGTTCTTTGTAGTCAGTGGTGACTATAAACCCTTCTTGAGAATAATCTTGGGTCTAGCAGAGGCCTTGACAAGTGAGACTTGGACACTCGTTGGATTTTGGTAAACTGTGAAATGCTAGGAAAGGAGGTTAGAAGCTGAGAAAAGCGATGTGTAGCACATACAGATCTATCTGTAGACTTTTGGTTAGCAGACTCTTTCCTATAAATGTTTGAGGGAAGACTTTTTGATGATAAACCTCAGATTTAAAAACTGTTTTAGTTTTAAACTTCATAATGAGGTTGATGCTGGAAGTGATCAGCAAACAGAAAAATTAGGCCGCTTTCCTCTCCCACATCCTCTCACGCCTCTCCTTGTAAACTCCTTCCTGACTTTACACATTCAGTTAATAATAATTTTACAAATACCCCAAGCTCAAAGCTTGTCTGTTTTAACTTCTCCCTCACTCAGTATACAGAAATGTTACCAAGTCTTGCGAGTTTCTTTAAGCATTTTTTAAATCATCGTTTTCTGTCATTTTCCCATTATAGACATTTTAACCCAGTTGTTTTTCACTTTATGATACCTTGGGTAACTAAAATCCTTCATAATTGTTCTCTCTGTTTTAGTATTTTTTTTCTTGCAGCATTCTTATCTTTATTATGCTAAATATTTCAATTAGATATATCTTCAAAAATACTGTTTTACACTGGGTTTTGCTTTGTTTTGTTCTTTTTAAATTTAAATGTGAAAAGTGTTTCCCTAGTGCCTAAAAGTGACATCCAGTCTCTAGGAACTCAAGGCCTTCCAGACTGCTGTGTTCTAAACTTCTTTCTAAGCCATTTTCCTAATACTCTCTTTCTCTCAATATTTTTATCCTCTTCCATTTCTCTGGCTACTTTGCTGTTCTATTTCTTCAGCCCAGAATATCCATCTTTTTAATAATGAATCATCTGTAAACTCCTGCTTGCTAAAATCCAGTCTGTCCTTCCAAGATCTATTCTTAATGCCACTCTGATTCATCTTCCTCTGAATATTAATAGTACTTTGTACTTTTATTACAAGTTGAACTTATATTTTGTTTTCTATTATAGATATTTGGATACTTACCTTATAACTCCTAAAATGCAAACTTCTTAAAGGATGGGATGTATATCAGTGACCCAGAAACACAGTGCCTTTAAACACTTAAGAAATATCTAATGAGCATAAGGGAATTTTTTTCCTGTAAATGTTAGCTGGTACTCTTTCTCTCTCTGAACAAAACATGTTTCTTCTCTCTGAACACCAGTCTGAGTCATATTTTATTATAAGTGCCAACTCAAGGTTTGCTTCACATGTCATTAATCATAGTCACTTCTCGAGAGAGTAAACTGTGACTCAGATGGTAAGTAAGTGACTTGTCAAAGCCACCGAGCTAGCTAATGGCAGATCTGGATCAGCATATAGCACAGCAGAATATTTTAGAGCTGTAAGGGAAAAAGGCCCAGAGATGTATAATGACTTAGCCAACTTCATGTGTCTAACAAGGGACAGAATCAAGGCTTGAACCCAGATCTTTTGACCCCCCCATATCCAACCAATGATAATCTAGATTACTTTGTAGCTTACCGAACTCAAGTCTTCTTTATCAGAATCCATATTCTTTTTTATTTTCTACTGAGGTATAGTTGATTTACAATGTTATATAAGTTTCAGGTGTACAACTTAGTGATTAACAAGACTCCCATATTGTTTATCCCAAGAAGTTAACCTGAAAATATTCATGCTCTTAGGTTTCTTTAAATATGTCATCTCTGTGCATACTATTGTACAACTAAAACAGTATCAACATAAGAGTAACATAAGAGGGCTTCCCTGGTGGTGCAGTGGTTGAGAGTTTGCCTGCCGATGCAGGGGACACGGGTTCATGCCCTAGTCCGGGAAGATCCCACATGCCGCAGAGTGGCTGGGCCCGTGAGCCATGGCTGCTGAGCTCGCGCGTCCGGAGCCTGTGCTACGCAACAGGAGAGGCCACAACAGTGAGGGGCCCGCGTACTGCAAAAAAAAGAGTAACATAAGAATATTAAATTTAATTGGAACTTGCTTAGGCATTGAAGGGTACCAGAGATACTAAATGAGGTCTTAATTTCACATGTCTTTTCAAATTATAAAATTATAGATGCATACTTGTTTCTTAACTAATCTCTGAGGAAGTTTATTTTCCCTTTGAAATTCACATTCCTAAATATACATTTTCTAAATATTGATACTAATAAATCACATGCACACTCAAATTTTGATGATCAATATCTGTTTTTTGTCACTCATAGCATTTATTATAAGGATGCATTTTGCTATTTGAGTTATGCTAATTTTAGTGTATTCCTGTTAATCACTATGGATTATAGAACCCAGTTTTTAAAAAATGGAGGTAGATACATGTTAACAAAAGTTCTTTCTACATAAACGAAGTATTCTTTAAGATGACTAAAAAGTTGCCAGATACAACTATTATGTTGAAATGCTGAAAAGGCTTATTTTATTCCATCACGCCAATTGCTAGTAAGGGTAGAGATTAAACATTGCTATATTTGTTGCCTAGCAACACCCACCTATTAGTGGTAGAAATTTTCCACTGAAAAACACTTTTATTTGGGTCATTGTCTTTGAAATTACATCATCAGAACTCTTCTTCCCAGCAGAAAGGTGGAGGTCACTTAGTTTGGATCACTTCCTGCTCTAAAACTACGCCTTTCAATGGAAATCTCTCACACTGCAGCCCATTTCTTTCCAGTTTCTGCTTTTTCCTGTCTCTCTTCACTGATTGATGGTAGAAGTCTGGAGAAAGGGGATGTGATTTTCATTAATCTTAATACATATTAAATCTAATTAAATGAATCTTTATAGATTAGAGTTAGAAATATATTTTTTTGCACACTAAATGTTAAAAAGTAAGAACAGATTGCATTCAGAAATTTTACCAAAGTCCCAGCTCAGGATACTAAGAACAAAGATCACTGCCATCCATCTGGCAAGGACCCTTCCTTAGCCCCTGGATGTTCAAGGAGGAAGAGCACAGGTCTGAGTGGAGGGTCACATGAATGTGCAGTCCCATCTGTGTACCTTTAACTTTAGAGAATCCAGCTATACACACACACTCTTACACTTGAGGGGGTTAAAAAAAGCAACAGTGAAAGGAGGAAAACAGTGTGTTCCTTATGCCTGACATTGCCCATGTGTCTAGTAAATGTGTCAGGGACTCCCTCCGAAGTGTTTCAGATCCGACGTTCCTGCCGTAACATAACTTCTTACAATGCTGAATGTCATTCCAATATTGAGGGTTCTCATTTTTTTTTGTACAACATGGCCTCAGTACAAGCCATCTGCCCCATCTGCTGTTCAAACAAAGAAATAGGTTTTTTGCATCCGTGCTGAGGGGAAAGCTTCCTATTTTGGACTCTTTGAGAAATGACTCCAGTATGTTGCCTTCTGAAGGGTTTTTCTTGAGTAATTTTGTTTATTTATATTCTGTGTTACCTTTATGTACTGATCTTAGTTCTTAAACCCAGTGTAGGATGTTTCCACTGTAACTGTTCTACTCTCATCTACTTTAAGAAGGCATGGATGCAAAAGATGCCCTAAGGAGAAGAGACTAGAGCATCATTTCTGATTTTACATTATATGGACCTTATTTTACCATTAGGAATAAAGAACAGCAATGTAAAATATTTCATTGATCAAAACATAAAGTATTGAATTCTGTGACCAAATAGAAATTCTTCTGTTCTAAAACAAAGTGTTTTTTAATTTAGTAAATATTTTTCTAAAGAGTCAGATGATTCCCAGATACATGGCTTAAATAAATAAACCAGTATATCATACAAAACTAGTTTTTATCATTTTGTGTCCCAGATCTAGCCCTAATATATTTCAGTTATCCTGTAAGGAATAATAATAAGAAGAACAACAAAAAAAACACAATAGTAGCAATAATGACAGCCTATTGAACACTTAAATGTGCCAGGAATTATGTAAACTTTTTTCTCTTCAATACCTCCTTTAATCCTCATACCTGTGGAGTAAGTGTATCACTGGGCTTGTTTACAGATGAGAAAGCTGAGGCTTAGATAGGTTAAGTAACTTGCCCAAGGTCTCAAGGTGAACAGGTGAAAAAGTCCAGATTCAAACTCAAACCCTGGATTGTAGAAATAGACAGTAGTTTCTAAATAATATTTTTCTCAATTTACATCTATGTCTTAATTTATTAGGTATGAATAGATTATGTGGTGAGTGGTGAGTTTTAAAAATAAACTTGTAAATTTAAAAAATGATCTTTTAATTTTCTCTCTTTAATCTTTGATCTGAGCATCAAAAGAAAAAAAAAATCCATGCAGACAGCCAATAGTGTATGACATAAAAAGGAGTTATTGGGAACAGTTAATCCCTGATAAATATGATAAATATGGGATATCACTTATCTTGTACATTGGCCAAAACCCAGTCTTGAATTTTATCGACTCACATGTGTTCTCTTGTTGTACTGCAGTCAGCACTTCTGCATAACTACGTTAAAACTTATGATGTTATAAACTATAATATAGGCACTTGCTACATTACAAATGTTTTAAGGTTTTAAGATTAGTTATCGTAATTGCAGCACTCAGCAGAATGCTCCATAACTTTCAGCTAAAATTCCTTACAGTTTATTTTTCATCAGTACAAATTTAATTTCTTTATCTTTTCTAAGGAAAGTTTTCAGACACTTGAATGCACTCCATGGTAAGATTTGCCTGTTCGGTTCATTATCGGCTTTAGTAAGTTTATTTGTAATACTAACTGTTGTTTTCCCTCCCCTCTGTTATATCGAACTTCTATGTAAGTTCTTCAAATATGAAGGGAGTGGAATATTTTGGGCTGGCTCTACTACATAGTGTTACTAATTTTTTCCCCCATAGGTACAGACACTTTGAAATATTTATGAAATCTGTTAGAGACCATCTGTTTAGTAGCAACATTTTTCTCGCATACAAACATACATATACACAGGTGTGGATACATAGGTGTGGTTTTTCATTGTTTCCAGGGTATTTAGACTTCCTAGCATGTCAGTGAGGAACTTTCGCAGTTTGCCTCTAATCTGCATTTTCAACTTTCATCATCTTCTACCAGCCTTCTAAAAGAACCTTCTTTGTAACCCTGATGAGCTACCCCATGACACTTCCTATACCCAATATCCCTACTTCCCCAAGTAGTACACCTTTTTCTTTGCCTAGAATGAGTCCCCACCCATTTGTCTAACTTTCAGGTGTGTGCAGGGGAGGGGTTGCGGGTAGGGGTAGATAACTGTTTCTTTATGTAAGCATTTTGTCTTAAAGTAACTTGGGGTCTCCCACAGAAGCGGAACTGTTCCTGGTACATAGTAGGCACCAAATAAATGTATGTGATTTTATGTAAGTGCCAAGGACCATTTGAGAAGTTTATTTTCTCTGATACTACCTTTAAGAAAGTACTTAAGTAGCTTCTTAAATTATAAATTACATTCCTTTTATTAGCATTAAAAATAAATCTTACCATATTCTTTCTAGAATTGCCACTTTAAATTATATAGATTAAAATCAGTCAGCATCTTTCACATTTATACGCATATACATGCATGTGCACATACATACACAAACCCATTTGTCAGCATGGTTCTTTTTCCTTCTCGTTTTCTTTCAGAGTAATAATGAGGTGAAGTTCATAGAAACAAAGTTTTGTGACCCATAAAAAGCATTCTTAATTCCTCCAAGATAATCCAGCGTATATTTGACTGAATCAGAGGGCACATGAGGTGTGGATGACTCACCCCAAAAAAATGCCCAGAGTTGTTCTTACTGAGAGAATGGGTGATTGTACATGTTAAAGACAAGAACCTTTAACTGTTGCACATTACTTTGAGATAATTGTGAGGGTGCCTAGCACAAAATAGGTGCTAAAAATGTTGATATTAATGTATTGGCCCCAAAACAACTCTTGACTGGGCCTTTCTTATTCTTTCAGGACTGCTTCCTTTGATTTTTTTTTTTTTTTTTTTTTTTTTTGCGG